AAATTCAGTAGTCAACGCAATCCAATTCACCTATGAATTAGAAAATAGTGAAGGGGAATTAGTGATATTAAATCGTAGAATATAACGGAAACAAGATGGAAGTTTAGACATTAGTGTCTACAGAAAACCTTCACATTCAAATCATTACTTAGACTTCAAATCATCTCACCCTATGTCAGTTAAAGTTAGCTTAGTAATAGGGTCAAAAAACATACTAGCAAGACAGAAGATCTAAGACAAGAAACCAGATACATTAAAGGCACCTTATCTTTCAACAATTATCATCCCAGATTAGTTAATAAGTTCCTTAAGAATCGTAAAATATATTGGTAACACAGGTATTAATATGAATAATAATAATAGTGATGATGATAGTAATACTAGTAGTAATGATAATGTTATTAAAAGTAGTGGCGATACTTTGAATAAAGAATTCAAAACCTCTACAGTATTACCATACAAATAAGGCACCTCAGAATCACTACCTAGTATTCTCAATAAGGCTGGAATTAGGGTGGCATTAAAACCTAAAAACTCACTGAGAAATAAGCTTTGTAGGTTAAAAGATCCTATTGACCCAACTAAGCAGAATAACTTATTTTACCGAATCCCTTGCAACGATTTCGAGGTCAAATACAAAGTAGTCAAAGTAGTCGACGAGGGTCAACTAAGCTATCTGAAAGCAAAAATCCAGCTAGATCAAAACTGGTAGATTCTAGTAAGGTAAGGAATTTAGCTATACATGTGATTACACACAACCAAACAATGAGATGGGTGAAGACAGAGATTGATAACTGAATTTTCCAAGTTGTTATTCATCGTAGACTGGATTTTTGTTTATCGAATCAATATCTAATACATGCAAGAGGAACGACTCAGCACCTGTTCCGGATATATGGAAAATCTTGCTACCCATATCAGAAATAGGGCGAGGAAATTAGGACTATATAAACAATATCTCAAAGTTGTGTATTTATCTTGGTATAACTACAGACAATAAATTATTTCCGAAACGTAATTAAGTAAACAATGCTGTTCATAATTACAATATAACAAAATGAAATGTTTGCTTAAAGTGTGTTCATAAATTGATTTAGTGGTAGTTGCATTATTTAAATTGTAAGGGACACATCTAACAGTAAGCTCATTGAGCATAATCTGTAGTTTTGTTTGTCATAAAGTTCTACTCAACGTAAGTTTTGTACTTAATAGCACTCGTCATGAAGGCATCTCTGAAACTTCAGAGGAAGTTGTATCTCTTCAAAGATTCAAACCCACGTCACCTAGTGCGGCTGCTAGTTTACCTAATGCAGAACTAGACTAGATACATTGAATGGTCACTGGAATGTGATCAAATTCATAATGTCTAGTCGTGTATGGTGATCAGATTCAACTGATCATTGTAATGTGACCACGAAGTTAGGAGGTTCAACGTTGCTGTGCACTTTGGTGGATGTTGAATCAGGGCAATCGTCCGGAAAACCTGGAATTAGGTTTCATGTCTGTTGACCTTCGCTGGTAAGGGGTATCTATAACCTTGAGAGATCTGCTGTCTCATCCCCTGGGATTCGAACTTGCGTCACCAAGTGCTAGAAGTTGGAGATGTTGTCAATGACGGTAATGATGATATCCAGTGAGTTATATTTAGCCCTCTGGAATTTTGTTTCTACCCAACTCAGATACACTGTAAGAACTTCAAACTGTAGCAAAAATTATTTGGAATAAAGTGGATTATTATTGTTATCATTACAACTGATTTCGTCATCCAAACCTGTGGTCCTAGCTAATATCAACATCGTTAATTTTTTCAAGTTGATATTCACCATGGACTGACATAAGTTGGAGGAACATTGGAAACCTGGGAGGACTGGATAGCTGTTTCGTTCTAGTATGGGACTCTTCAGAAGTGCACATCCACGATCCCACCACCGATTAAACCCGCAACCTTCAGTTTCCGTAACCAGCACATTGCCATTGAGCTAGCCACTGGGTCGGAACCAATGGTCCATATTTCCAACTATCAAATCACTACATGGTGCGACCGCCACTCAATGTCATCGTTGAGCATTTGTCCTCACGGCCAGCAGGTTTGCCCCACTGGTCACAACTTCTCACTGGAACTTCGGGAATCACCTCTCGAAGCTAGTCACCAATGGGCACTAATTCACGACTCACTGGCTCAATGGTAACGTGCTGAGCACGGAACCTGAAGTTCGTGGGTTCGATCCCTGGAGGTCGGGGTTGTGGATGCGCACCGCTGTAGAGTACCATACTAGGAAGAAGCAGCTATCCAGTGCTTCCAGGTTTCCAACACCCTTCCAACTGATATCAGTTCATGATGAATACCAACTTAAAAAATCTCTAAATCCCCACAAACCCCCAAATTCAATAGTTAATCTTATCAGAATCTCCAGTTCAAGTAACTCTTATGGTCAGAATGGTGTAGACATATAAAAGACAAATTCAAGCTATCGAAAACAGTTACGTTATCCACAAGTGACTTCGATTTATGAATCTTCGCAAAATAAAGTAAGAAGAGGTTATCTGTTGGTATATGCTATGTAAGTACGCAATACATTTCGAACAATCGCACAACACATATACAAAGAAAAATGAATAGTTTGGGGGTGAGATAAGGTATCTGAAGTAAGTTTGAGGTATAGCAACGACGTCAAAGTATGTTACTTCAGTGTGAACATTTCAGTTGTGTCTTTCTTGAAACTTTAAAAAAGTCGGTAAATCTACATGTATTGCCATATCACAAATTTTATCGATGGAATTTGGTTGAAGAAATACTTTTGCTTACAATTCAATAATCAGTCAGCTTATTATTTAACTTAGTTCTACACCAAGCCAATTAATTTCTGAGGATTTGTATTATGACATTCATTCATGAGGCTCAAACATCAGCTAACTGTAGTGTGATAGATGTTGAAGCCTATCGGATCTTATTTTTTTCATGAAACACCTTTGAAAGTCCTGATGAGAACATGTTTCGGATCTTGTATTTGGTGTATGGGATTCAGGCAGTGAGCCTGTATTTTAAATACGAACCTGACATAACACTTTGGGTCTAGAAGATATGAACTAAGCTAGAGAAGGGTTTGTCTAACTACTTTTTCGAAGAGAGGTTGTATTCATCGTTTTCCACTGTTTTATCGTAGGATACGTGTTCGTCTCATTTTAGCATATGGTAGGCATCTCAGGTAATAATTTGAGTTATAAATTATCTTATTTACTTCTTCCGTGTCGGTTTGTTCAACTTAAAGGAAATCGTCGCGTAGTTTATAAACTATGGTGGGATGGTGTACATCGTACAGAGTCGCAGAATCAATGGAGCTCTTTACTGGAGTACATAGTGTTTGAGCCGTCTGTTGGTACTGTCAAGGCAAAACTGGATCTCCACTGTACTACCATTATCAAGATTATTGGCCTATTATCTTTACTAATGAATGTTGGTGTTATATGTTTGGAGACGGCTGACAGGAAACCCTGGTTTCCCTAGGTTTCATCCTTGTTCACAGTATCCCGCAAGATGTATCTCCAACCATATTTAAACTGGTGCCCTCTCGCTGGTTTTAATCCGCATCAGTCGCTTAGAGCTGAAGCGAAAAAATATTACCAGTAGGTTACTTAGGCCACGACTAAAGTCCCTTCTCTCCGTAGGACTGGAGTTTTTGTAAGCATTGGTCATAAGTTGGAGATCGATTTAACTGTCCAGACCTCAGTGCTCAGTGCTGGCTGGAGTACACTGACCAAGTTTTCACTGTAACCACGAAGGTAATCTGACATGACACAGCGCAGCACAGTATTTTGGTGCTAAATGTTTAAACTTTTATTAACTGTGTTTATTTAGCTAAAAGTCCAGGTTGGATTCTAAGTACTGAAAAAGTTGTATCAATAGCTCATAACTTTCGAATAAAGTCCCTTGAGAAGGTAGTTCTGCTGATTAATCAATGGTGAATAGTGGCTAGCAGTGTAATCAAGGACTCACGCTTCATCTTACTTGGGGTTCATCAGCTGAATGTACTTATCTCTCAGTGAATGATAGTGTTCTCACTAATATTCGGAGTCCTGATTAATACTATTCTGTAATGCTCTTTGCCCATCCATTCCAATCCAACAGTCAGGTTGATTATTGATTAGATATTCTTGATAAACTTGTGAGGGAAATGGATACATTTGGTCTCCTCAAGCTATGCAAGACTGAACTGAAGATCAAAGTATCTAGGTGATTCCTTCTTTCTTGAGTCAGACTCATTTGAAAACTCACTTCACTGGATAGTATCACTCGTAACTGAACTGATATAACCTTAGTTACTAGTGGTATGTGAACGGACACTTAAACACCAACCTTCGAATTCCATTCTTGGATGGTCGCTAGGTTCTATAGTGAATACAGAATGGTGGTAAGATGAAAGACGGTGTATTACAGCGTCCAAATATGTACAAAAGACTACGCTTTACACATATACTTACAATGGCCTTGACTATTTCTTGTCCTTTCTAGAAGGGTGGAAACATGTATCCATTCAAATCAATTATCTCTAAGTAATATCATGAGAATATTTCGAGTTATTGCGTTGATAAACTGGAAGGTATTGTAGAATTCTAAGAAGTAAATCCAAAGCCTTTCTGGTACACCACAAACTCTTAAGATATGCCACTGGAAAATCACAAGTTTCTAAAGAAATTAGTTTACATTAGTAATCTTGAGCTTCACTCTGACTTCATCTACATCCCCTTCAAAGAATCTGTATATGATCGTTGTTTTTTCTCTTTCTAGGTTTATTTTTTTTGGTGAATTTCACTCTTCAATTTTTATCATTTGCCAATCAATAGCCAATTTTAAATGGCTAATTTACAGTAATAAGTAGAAGGACTAACTTGATTGGTTAATTCTATGAAGTCTGCTATGACAACTGACATCAATGCAATAAATTTATTGGTAGACTGAATAGATTTATTTGTTGTTTTTAACCAATCACTAGTTGTGTACATGGGCTTCAAATATATTTTGATGCATACTAATATCGTGTATTTTAAAAAAATATCATTATTTATAGTTGTTTCCACATTGTTTGTTGAAAACGCCAAACTCGGAGTACAAACAAAGAACTAAGATGAAATTTAACCCTTTGGATATTGTAATTTTGTCTAAATTCTCATAATTCAAGCGTATTTAAACAACACAAAGGGGGAAAAGTTTCAGCTTTCAAAAAAGAAAAAGAAGTATATTTGGTGTCATGTCAGATGATTTTATAATTGATCAACATGAAATTGAATTTACACAGAAAACACATAAAACTATACAAAATGATCTACAATTGAAATGGTATTATTTATCACCTGCAGAGATTTGGGCTTTAGTATTAACTTTTCTCTACTATATATTAATGATATGCTTCGGAGTTATTTGCTGGTTGAATGCTCGACGTCGATATAAAAATAGACATAAAAGTACAAATGTTATATCATGGTCACGATTTCATATCAGTCCAAATCAATTGCATATTAAGTATACAAATGATGATGGTGATTCTATGGGAAGTTAGTCAATTAAATTGACAAATAATATAATCATAATCATAGTAGTAAAAATGATTGTAATAAATTGCATGCATAGTATTGTTTTCGGTTTGAAACTATAGGTAGTTCACTCTATCTAATGCTTGAGATGTATGGTTTTGAAACAACACAATTTTTCAACGTTATTCATTTTGAAAAACTATTTTGTACAAATTTTTAGTATTCGTTTTACTGACCTTTGTTTCACAATGACAATATTAAAGATATCAGGGTAGATTTTTACTCATCAGTATAAAACTATTAAAAATCTGATACATGTCATTTCCCTTTGCTATACAGGGCCGAATTGCTTAACCTCTGTCGACAGATGGGCTTCTATGCAGATGCTTTCATACTGTTGGATAATCATCGGTATCCGTTGCACAAGAGGTGGCTCTCACGTCCCAGTCGCCCAGTAGAGAAAGCTTTGGCGTTTGAAGCGATGTCTTGAGTCTCACTGGAAACAACATCACTCACTGAGGTACAGATACATTTAACTGGTGAATAAGTTCGAAGTGGGACGAAACGCAAATCAACTAGATTCCACTGCTGGCCACCAAGATGAATATTAGGTTGACGCGTTTTTATTCTAAGATATACTTAATATGTCTTCAAAGAAACTCCCTCAGGTAAACATCCCAATGAAACAAGCTAACTAACCGAAATTTATGTGACACTGGTGTTTAGCGCTGACTGGCAGCTGATCAACGCTTGCTGAAAATCATCAGCCAGGTGTGTCTGCAACCATAAGGACACCAAGGTCTGCCTGATGATGTAACTCATCATCAGTATACAGATTTGTGCATCACTAGACTATGAGTCACACCTGTTATATGATAGCTGGGGGTACTCCATCGCTATAAGAAGCTCGAGAGGGATGGAGTTGACTATGAAGTAGTTATGCACTGGTAAAAGGTTCAGGGTTTATACCAGTGAACAACAGTTCAAGAAAGTGATTTTTTAGACTGAGGTTACTAATGCTCACCTTTTAAATACGATTCACACTGTCATTGTATGTAACAAAATATTTAGCGAAAAAGAGTTTGTTTTATATAACTGAACTTCTTTAGGTAGAGTTTTTAAAGGCAATAAAATAGCGTTCACACTGGATGAGATTTTCTGTTAAAGGTCACCCTAAAAACACCTTAACTAACCAGTCAGACTTCTTTGTTTGATGAAAAATTAACTTTCTAGGAAGAATAACGGGAGTTAATCAAAAGGCTATTTCAGTTTTTGTATTGATGGCTTTTCGAATTAATAAAACTAATTCACACTTAATGAAGAGAAACTAGCTTCAAATTTCTTTTATTAATAGAGAGAGAAATTAAAAACGTACGATGACGATGAGCATTCCTGGCGGAAACCACTTCCTGCTGTCTTAAAGTCTTGTGTGGTACATTATTTAGAACACAGAGCCTTGGTTAGCGCATTGCACTTCTTCAACTCCCCATTCACAGTCAGATACTATCACAACACCTCTCGATCGACAGAAGTGAATATCGTCTTAAGGTCAACAAATATTACAAGTGTCGAGTGCTAATAATTATGCTTGTGTTCCAATCTATGTCAAAGGGTGAAGGTTTGACCACTGATCATATACACCCCATTGGAAGAAATGTATAAATATTGGTTACCTGAAGTATTTATGAAACCAAAAGAGGTAATATCTGTTTTTTATACCTATGACTTTGCTTAGGGTAACCACTCAATAGATTTAAGTGATAAGTATCAAGGCGTTACTGCTAATTTGTGTTATCTGGGCATTAATATTCTGCTGGGTTAGTTGGCTACAATAAATTGAGAAACAAACCCAGTAGACGTTGAGTTAAGCATTGTAACTACTAATTTAAGTGCCCAGCAATTAATTTATTTAAGTGACCTGTCGATGAATGGCATTATTTTTCTGTTCTGAATATCTAGTGAAGAGAAGTTTGATGTTTGAAAAAGTGCTATTTGAAGATCAGTTGTTTGACTTGATTATTTTTTCAACATCAGGTGTTCCCAGATGGTCGGGAAAAGAGATACTTTTGTTAACTAAAGTTTAGCAAAGTGTAAGTGCGGTTTTACAGCAGTTTACACTTTTCTGAGGAGTGATATTGATTCTTCAGATAGCCAAAGGCCTCTTCATCTGATTATTGATGCAGGTAACTTGGACCGCTGACTAAATGCCTAGCCGACAGTACACACTCAATCGTTTTCGGCTGGATGACCAGCTTGTCTGTGATCCTGATGACTTTCGTATTTTGAGTCAACATCCATACGCCTGACTGACAGTGCACATTTAAGCTATATTCCACGACTTAGGCGTTTACGAGGTGAGGGACGACTACCGTGGCCATCCTCTAGTTCTCGCTGTTAAACAGATATCAACCCATGAACCTAATCACCGTCTTTCCGTCCTGCACTACGGTTTCGAAGTGAAGAAATCCAGTTGGTGTGGGTAATGACAGAGCTAACCAGAACTACACAAAACTTCCAGAGCACCTAACTTGTGTGCCCAGGGTGTTCCTTTCAACCATATGATGTTTGATATATCATATGTGACGGGAGGGTATGCGTCTAATGATGCATGCGAGGCATGATGAAGGCTGGATACTGTATGCTCACTGTCTCCCCTTAACTTATACGACCAGCAAATTTGCTTATATCTTAGGTGTAGGTTGCTGGTGACTGAACCAGGGGTAGCTATCAAACGCTCAAAGCGATGAAACATGCATCATCCCTCCTCCTTGTGTCTTTGAAAGCAGTTACGAAACTGATTCCTGAACCTGGTCAATTGTACAACAACCACGCAGGTAGTAAGGTCTGGAATGCCTTGGTACCAACACCTAACCACATTGAGAGGGGGTTAGTATTAGGTGAGTGTTAAGTGTGAGTTAGAGTTCACCCCAGCGGAATAATCCAAGTCGGACACAGGCTGCCGACACTGCCAAGGAGGTACGGGTAAATACCAAGCAATTCGAAGCCTTCTCGGTTAGTAAGAGTGGATAGCCTGTAGTGTATATCATTTTCATGCATATGCACCTGACTGAAAGTCAACCCATCGGTCGTGTTTAGCTGACCTAGAAACAGCTAATGCAAATTTCAAGTGAAGCTTCAAAGCAATTTATGTTTTCCTGAGGATGACTAAACTTGTCAACTCTCTAATTACTCCTTGTTTGGTTACTGTATCTTACTGAACTGCGACTGGTGCAACATTAAACTTCTAGCTGCTTATGGATGCATAATCCATGAAAAACAACATCATTGGGACAACTGTACCAAGCAAGAAGATATATCTAGGATCTTCAGTTCCGGTAGTAAAAGTCTACAGTGGTTTGAAAGGACTATGTAAATCAGGATTTCGTGTAATATCGTTTTACTTGATGTGTGTATACAAGTTTACTTGCTCTTGTGGAGCTGAGTACATCGGCCGTATCATGCGTCCTCTTGTAAAACGTGTTCGCGAACACTACCCAGCCTGATTTGCAAAGGGAGAATGAAAATGCATCTTCAGTTGGATAACAGAACACCTCATGAACTCAGGTCCCTTAGCTCCTTTCGAGAGCTCCTTCAAAATTCTCTACAGGGTTTGATCAAATCACTCGAAGGGAGTAAAATCAAGGCATCTGTCTATAGCTGAAACATTAGCCATTCAGAAGTTCAGACCGGCGTTATGCGTGCAAAAAGGGTACGCATAACCTTTATCTTTGCCATGGCCATCATAAAGCCCTATCTGCCACAGATTCATTTTGTATCAAATTGAACCTGTATTACGTATTTACAATCTTATTTTCACGATCCCCTGTTTATTCTCATACTCTGTCACAGGTTTATCCGGTAGTACATAATCTCAACTTTATCTCAACAACCCTTCGTTCAGTTTCCTACTTTGCCATACATTCATCCCGTACTACGTAATTACATTTGATTTAATAATCCCCTGTCTATTTTCCCACTCTAAACACAAATGTGTATTATTAACTTCCTTTTGTCATTCAATATATTTTGCCCCCTGACCGGAAACAATTCTGGAACATTCTACCCACTGTAACATATATTCACGAATGTACAGCTTAGTAAATGACTTCGTCGAAAAAAAAAAAATTTTTATTCGCTGAAACCACGTCTTGTCTAAACCTAAGATCATAGTTGTATGCATGTTCTTTGCCCTATTTTCTAACTGATGTGAGGAATGACTTATACAAAGAGATTTTTTATTACCAAGGAACGAGAACAGGTAAGAATTAAATCCATTACTTCAAATGTTGGAGCATTATCCACCAGGCTAGTGATTTTTTGTTGCAGTGGTAACAACAACGCTCCATTGGACTTAGGTGAACTCAGCTCTGGATTTCCTTTGCTAGCTACCAACCATAATGTTTTCTGTCGTCTTGTGTACTCCAAGCTATATGGTTTAAATATGAGGCTTATCCGCCTTATTCAACAACTATATGAAGATGCCACATGCCAAGTAATTCACAATGGGAAGCTCAGTGATGCCTTTGAAGTGAAGACAGGAGTGAAACAAGGTTGCCTACTATCCCCCATGATATTCCTGATTGTGGTGGACTGGATCATGCAGCAAACAGTAGGCAGCGAGAAGAGGGGATACACTGGACGACCGAAAAGAACCTAGAAGACTTGGATTTCGCCGATGACTTGTGCCTAATGTCACATAAACTTGAAGATCTGCAGGCAAAAACTAACAAGTTGATAGAAGAGGCAGGCAGCGAAGATGGGACTTCAAGTGAATATAGAGAAGACAGAAGTGATGAAGATACCGCACCACCACCATCAACAACAACAACAAACTCCAGTCACCATCAACGGCAGGAACTTAAAGGAAGTAACCTCCTTCACTTATCTAGGAAGCACTGTTTCAACTACAGGCGAGGACGTCAAAGTCAGAATCGGAAAAGCAAGACAGGCGTTCATTAGCCTGAAATCAGTGTGGAGATCTTCTGCACTCAGCATGCGGAACAAGATCCGGATTTCAACACCAACGTCAAGTCAGTGCTCCTGTATGGTTCAGAGACTTGGCGCATCACGAAAGGGATTTCCAATAAACTACAGACATTCATCAACAACTGCTTACGCTGGCTCGCTACTGAAGATCAGATGGCCAGAAAAATAAGCAACAAGGAACTCTGGGAACGAACCAACCAAGAACCCATCGCTCAACAAATATGCAGAAAGAAGTGGAGATGGATTGGACATACACAGAGAAGGATGACTGGGACATCACGCGT